GTTTCTTATGGCTAAACTGACTGCCAGCATTGCTGCTTAAGATAAAATTTCCAGATGTTCTCCACTGTAACATCCAGTTTTCAGTTGCTTCTTAACCATGACCACGCAGAGTCCTGGTCTTCAGATGCTTTTTATTTGGTGTGGAAAATCATATGACAGTGAAATGAGCAGGAAGTGCTGCTCTTCATGTCTTCAAAAAGCAAAATAACCACCAGGACATTTTAAACCATCTTTTTGGGATTCTTTAGTTTGCTTAATGTATCAGTATGCAATTTGAAAACTGATTGGACCATGGAGAAGCCTGAATATAAGGTATACTTTTCTCTCTTGTTGAAAATCCACTTTGAGCTGGCAGTTATGTCTAACATAGAACTAGGCTATAAAATAAAACTGGGAAATATTTGGGTAAGGGAAGGCGGCTGCTTGTGAACTGATCGAGAAGTCTGAAGTTTTTGTCCTGTTATGATTTAAAAAAAAGGAAATTATGTGTAAAGGTAGTCTCAAAATGGAGACCTTGTTGAGACCTATGGATGTTGCGAATTTAAATAAAATAGAATACAACATATGGAGACCTATATGACATAACCATACTGAAGCTGCTTTCTGCAGGAGGTTAAGAATTAAATACCATCACCAAGAGTGGACAGTTATGGTTACAAGTACTTAGTTGTAGTAATTACAGTGGGGTTTTTTTGAACGAAATAATAGAATTTATGTGATTTTTTTCTAAGCTGGAGCTCAGAAGGCAAAACCAAATGCTGGATTACCAGAAACATAGATACATTGCTAAGCTTTAGTTATGGATCATTAGTAAAGAAAGGGCTCTTTTTTTTTGTGTATGTTTATATTTTTCTGAATTTAGCTGCTTATTTTATCTTAAAGTATGCTTAAAGTCGGCATGAAGGGTAGAGCATCTTTCAGTTTTCTTGTAAAGAGGAACCACTGAGCTTTTCTTGAGACTCTGCTTAAAATAATGTTTAGGCTGGGTATGAAAAGTTCTCAAATACACAAATTGTACCTAAGAACATAACAGCTTTTGAAAATTTTTCTTGATTTCCTTAGACTTGAAGAATAGCTTGGTTTTGGCTTTTTTCCAGTGATAAGTAACTGACTCTGCAAAATCAATGTTTAGTAAGTCACTGGAACATTTGCTAATAAGATGGTAGAATAAATGAGTTTTTAATTGAGTTAAATAATTGTTTGATCAAATGCATATGTTTATGTTTTTTCTTGCTAGATTTGGATATTTCAATCAAATTTGATTTTTTCAAATTCATTTCCCTTAATGAAGTAAAGAACTTCTTTTTGTAAGTTAAATGAGTTCCTGCCTCATCTTATTTTCATATTTCAAAGGAAAACACAAAAGTCACAATAGAAGTATGAAATTTAGTACTACTTGTCTGCTTGAAGTTCCACAGATTTTAACATGCATGGAAAGTTCCTTAAACGTTGCATTTCCCATACTGTAAAAACCAGACACACTTCTTTGTAGTCTCTTATTAATCAGCAGCTCTGAGTCTTTGGCATGGTTCATTCTTACTTTTCTTCACTACTTCTGTTCTGGGCGTGGGGACTGCTAAGCACTATAAAAGCACCTGGTCTGCTTAGGAAATAGTTGTTCTCTGTGTAGGGAATAGAAGATGTTTTCATCGGGGGTTTCTTATGCTGTGGACTTGTTAGGTAAGGTCACCACATGGAAATTTTGTTGATTCTTAGGAACGATGATATGCTGCAGGATAATCATTAATGTCCCAGAGTAAGTAGAAACATTAGGATTTGGAGCATCTTTTTTTCCCAGTACATTGGTTTCTGCTTAAACACTTTGAGTAACAAAGATCCTCATGTGCAGTCTCCCAAAATATGCTGTCTTTTTTCTAATTTCATTAAGGGTGTGTGTTTTGGACATCATCTCAAAAAAAGGCAACAACTGTCTTACGCGCCAGCAAGATCCAGTAGTGTTTTGTACATGCTGAAAACTTCAAACATGGAAAGTTAGCAAACTAAGGGAATGTGAGGGTGATGATGCAGAGAAACAGGCAGAGGGAGAGCAACAAGGGTGTAACTGGCTGGAACTTCAGCACTTGAGCTCCACTAAACATTTGTAGTTCCTGGCTTTTAGGATGCTCTTGTGTTTGTGTGTCACTGTCTTCTGTAGGTTGTTTCTTTAGTTCTGATTTTGAGTTCAGGAAGATTTTAGCGCATGAAAATAAAACTCAGGAAAACAATTGTGAAATACCACTAGTGAAAATTTTTCATACAAAAATATTGTATGAAATATTAAGAGATATTAATTCTTGTGGAAGGAGAGAATGACTTCATTTGATTGCTTTTTCTGTGTTGTTGATGTAGAAGCAATTAATCTCAATAGCTTGAGCTACTTCTGCTTCATTTTTAACATAATCTCACTTTTCAACATGTGTGAAGTTAGATACATTCAAAGCAGTGCAGCCTTAAATTGGTCAAATTGATTTCTGAATTCTCTGGGGGTGAGGTGAATCCTTACAGTACTCAAATGCAAAGTGAGAAACACTCCAAGAAATCAAAAGGAAATATTCTTAGCTTTGTCTCTGTACAAATATTAGAGCAAACAGTATCCCTGAACAGAGGTGTGTTATTTATAGAGAAACACGATGCAGTGATGAGTGTGTTTGGGAGACAATATGAGACAAAGAGCACAAGAAATAGAGTTAGATGTTAAGAATGGTCTTCTGGATTTGTCAGATGTCTCATTCTGATAATTCTGTTTGATAGTCTAGCTGGCCTGACAGGTAAGAGAAGCACTAGCTGCAGATACAGCTGGATTCTGACAAAAATGTCTAACTTGAAGGCTTACTCTGTGTTCCTGAGTTGTGGTCTTGCTGGTCACTGCTCTGTCTTTCCAACCAAAGAGTCTGAATTATGTTTTTCTGTGAGTTCTGAGCTTGGACTTTTAAGATGGTTGTCTGAGGATCTGAATACTGACAGTGGTACATTGCTACAAAAGGTAGGGGATCATTTGTTAAAGCAATACTTGGCCATGATAATTGATTACTGATGACTGATTAAGACTGCACCTCAGGTGGGGTCCTGCGGTGTGTTTCTTCATCTTGTATCTCTCACACACTGAAGAAAATTTGGTTTCAACTAGAAATTCTAAATAATGTTCAGAGAACATCAATAAAGTTGCAAACTTCAGGGTAAATTTCCTTACCTCACTTTTTTTTTCCCTGTATCCTGTATAGTTTAAGTTTTTTAATCCAAAATATGTTATTTATTTTTTCTTTTATTTATGATCCAAATTAATGAAACATTAGAGCCTGCTGTTTTTCTTGGGAAATTGAGAATATAGCAGTAGTCAGCTTGTGTGTTGGTTAAAATACTGATTTCAAATCAGCTTTGCAATATTATTTTAGTATTATCAGTGGAATGGCATAGATATCTAAAGTTTTAGTGTGCAGAAGTATGGATGTGGAGAAAAGCAAGTAAGATACTGTACATGTAAAACAATGGTACAATTTTGGTATTAAACACAAAATGTGTGACATGTAGTATTTTAATAATATTTCACAGCTGAACTTTATTACTTGCAGCTAGTTCATTGCTTTGTCAGAGCTTAGTGAATACTTTAATTTCTTATGATTCACAGTTTCTGTGTGTGTTCACAAGTTCCTTTCGTCTTCACTACACACCCCCTCACCTCCCTGTAGTTGATTCAGACGTTGTAATATGTCTTTGTTTTCTGAGCTTGCAATACTAAATAACTTTGGGAGTATATATTCCCAGAATAGTTTAGCTGCTGTGAAACACTGTTAATTTTCTTAAAGAACTTTAATTTGCTTGCATTCATAATTTCTACTTACTCTTAAATCATTTCTGGGCTTTGCAGTTTCATAAGGATTTCAAATACATTGAGTTTTAGTACTCAAGCCCAGTTTTAATTAGCTGAGGAAATGAAAGCCAACAACTTCTTCACAATTCCATTGAATAACTTTGTTTACCGGGATCTGAAATAACCAGAGCAGAATGTTACAGCAGAGTTTCTGTTCTTTTAATTTCTTCTTTGAATTTAATGTTCAGTTTGAAACTTCTTAGTTTATCTATCATTTGAGCTGGTGCGTCATCTTGGCACTGCAGTAGTCACAGAATACTGCTCTGTGTTCTCAATGCTACCATCACTTAGCACTTTTTTTATTTATGTCATAAATAAATAATTTCAGAATGTGTGGTTGAAAATAATGAAAGAGAGAAAGCTCTTGAAAATAACTAAGAAATAATGTTATGTATGGCTAAATGGGGGTATTACTGTATTGAGTGTAGCCAGGGGGCTGTCTGCTGAAGTCAGCCAATTAAACATGAAATGCTTGCTTTATTTGTATGTACAACTATATAAATAACACAGCTTACAAAAAGTGATGTGCTTTTGTTGTGTCTGTATAGACACATACATTTTTTATACATACAAATATTTTATGTATATGTGTGTGGATGTATGTGTGACAATATCATATTTTTAAGAAACATTGCCCATGAAGCCTAAAACAAACACATAAGAGGCCTCATTTGTTTTTTTTTCTAAGGAAATGCCATGGCATGGGTAAAAAAGGGTTGTTTCTGATGTCCTTCCCAGACTGAGTACCCAGCCCATGTGTTTCCTTGCCATGGTGCACCTTGCTGGCCTATGGATGAGCATGGCTGGACAAGTGGTGAAGGAGAGCAGCTTGGGGTTCCTGTAAGAGCTTGAACAACTGAATGAGGAAGAAATTAGGAACTGCTGCTGCTGTAGACTACCTGATGTTATATCTAAAAGACCTAGTTCTGAGACTTGTATCCCCAAAGTTGGGGTCACGTGGGTACTTAATGTATGAAAACAGTAGCTAACTCATTTTTCAACCTGTGGCATTTAGTGGGGTGTCCTAAGCCATTAAACACTTGATATTTTTAGACACAGAAATACATCTTGTTGAATTTTCAACTAATTCTATTTACTTGATTTTTTAGAAATTATTTATTTTTTCTTTCAGTTTAACTTTGTTGGAAGAATCCTTGGGCCCAGAGGACTAACAGCTAAACAGCTTGAGGCAGAAACAGGATGCAAGATAATGGTCCGAGGGAAGGGCTCAATGAGGGACAAAAAGAAGGTAAGGTCTTGAAGGGCAGTGTAGTTTCAGATGCATAATTTTGTTTTCTGATGGAGGATAAGCTCATGTCTCTCATTCTTGTTGTGTTCTTACTATTATGCTTTTTTGTTATCTAGTGTCTTACACTGACTTAGTAAATAACACAGGCTGTCCTGAAAAAGTAAAATGTACACACTCCATAATTCTGCAATTGGGAGTCTTAACTAGCAATTCTAAAGTATTCTTAAGTAATGAGTAACTTAGAATTGTGTCACATTTCATAATGTAAAGGTAAAAATTGAAGTTAAATGTGTTTTTCTAGGAAAGAGCTGTTAACCTCAAAGGTCTTATTAATAACTTTAGTGTATTGAATTACCAAAGTAATGATTTGTGCATGGAGTGTGAATTGGAAAAAAAAAGTTAAATGTATTTCTGGCAGTCGCTTCTGTCCGAGTGAGCCAAAAAGCACTGTGTTTCTGGCTTTGTTTAGTGTTCAGGTGGAGTTGCAAAGTAATTTGGGGTGTTCTTGCCTTGTCCTGGAATAAGCATGCTCTGCCCATATAAATGGGCAAACTGCACAATAGAGCCTTCCTGAATGTCAGGTTGCTCTCGTGGTAACTGTTTTTCCAGGTTTATTTTCTAGCTATTTCCCTCTACCTCTGGCTACTGCTGCAGAAGTTATGACAACATCTCCACTGTAGTTTTGAATGTTTCCTCTTTGTTCCCAGAAATACAAGAAATGTCTTTTTATTCTTTTTTAGGGGAAACCCACCCCCCCCCCCCCCCCCCCCCACGTGATCAGCCACATAATACATTCTGTTGATCCATATATAGTACATAACAATTACAATAGAGAGTTAATATCTACCCAGTTAAACATTTTCTATCCCAGACCCTGTGAATGTTACCTTCAAATTTCATTTAATGTCTCTTGTTTTCATAATTGCTGGAGCACTGTTACTGTCCTTTGTCTTATTTTACCATTGTTGTAGGTTTTGGAGTTTGTGAAATACCAGTTAGAGAATGACAGAGTGGTGGACTCAGGCAGAGTCACCATGTCCAGGTTTCCTGGGATCATGTCCAGGTGGCTGCTAGGTGTAGTGTCCTCCCACCACTGTGCTTCAAAACCTGTTCTGTGGGAAGTCGTCTCTCTAGACAGCTTGGGCAGGTTTAATTTTTGGGGAAGTATTTTTTGACTGACTTCCCCCTATTCTCCATGCCTTTTATTTTTAATTGTACTTTTTGACAATTCACAGAAGATTAGGCCGTGGGAGTTACTGGAGTTTTGTATTTAAGAAAAAGATTAGAAGAACTGAGACCCACCTGAGTGAGTCACCTGTTTAAGTTTAGTAAGAAAATAAAGCTTCCTTTGACAAGGACAAGTATGGCAGATCAGATAAAACCTCATACACATGAAAATCTAGAAATTGATCCAGTCAGTACTTGAATGACAGTTACAGCTTCAAAGCTGACTTCTCTCATAATTTTTAAACATGAAGTACTTGACCATTGGTAATTTAATGAGATAATGCTGCAGTTAATGAGAAATATATTTGAATGATATAATATTGGTATTTTTATACCAAACAGTATGATACAGGTTGTAAATCAGTGTTGAGTGCCAAATAATTTTTTTCACAAAACTGATTTTCATGCCATCCATTGCTAATATTTTCAGCTCATTTGCTTTCCTGAGTTGATTTGGATTGGTCATTAGTTTACATTTTTAAGAGCAGACTTTTTGGTGCTATGCCACTGTTGACGAAGTAGAAAGAATTTTGTAATCCTTGATTATGATGCACACTAATAAGATATTTATTGTAAAAACAATGATTTGGGAGCTGATTTAAGACATGGAGATCACAGACAAAAGACAGAATGAGTGACATCTGTCAGTCTGGGGCACAAGTACACATCTTACTGTTGACTCTTGTCTCTTTTCCTGATGAATTGTACTTACAGATGAACTCCCTAGTCTTGCAGTGCATTTAATGATAACCACCTTTTTTATTTTCTCAAATGGTTTCTCTCTTTGCAGGTTGTACTTCAAAATGCTAATGAATATCAAAGTATAAATACAGAAAAAATAATTTTTTTTTCATGCCAGATTAGAATAAATTAATTCTTTTTTTAAACCCTTTTTTTAGAGTCAGTGTTGTTTGGAAAAGTCAGTATTTTAGATTTTTTTTTCACTCAATAGTTTTGAAATTTGGAAGAGTTAAGAGATGCAGGTTAATATTTTAGGTGTATTTTGTGAGCATGATTTATACCTGCAAATCTGATTTCTCAGTGCTAATTATAAAAGAAAGTTTATTGGTTGTGGGAAGGAGTAATTACTAAAGCAGTGTCAATCTTATGTGACAGCTACATGGTACTAAATACTTGAGTAAACTGTCCATGTGCTTTTGCTGCCTTGCTAGTGGTTGCAGAATCCAAGAGAAAATACGAAGACTGACATTCTGGAAAATAAAACATCCAGACAGGCTCTGCAGAGAATTTTCCTTTGCTCTGTGATGCTGTGAAAGAAGTAATGAATTAGGAATCCTTGTCATGCGGCCAAAACACTTGAACTGGCATTACATCTTTAAACTTGCTGACAGATTCCCCCCAGAAAGCAGGGGAAATCCTCAAATTGTTTGTATTTGAGGCTCAGCTGGTAATAAGAATATCTCTCTAGGCAGCTTTCAACAAATTTAAAATCAAAACCTTAATTATTGAGAATACTGTGATTGGAGCCTGGGGGTACTTGAAGGAGATTATTGGGAAGAGGAAAGGGGTTGCAGGCATTTATCTAAAGCTAATGAATGTGTAACTTTATTAAGACCAAGGCATTTTTTTGCTCAGTCTGTGTGCACCTTTCATTAGGTGGAGAAGAAAACTAGTAAGTTGCCACCAGTTAAAGCATGTGTATAGTGAAGACTGTGCAATGGTGGGTAACCAAAACGTTTTTTTCGCATCTCCCTTGTCTTACACAAATTCTGTAAAAGGGGCATTGATGTGCCCATAGGGAGTCAGCCCTGTGCTCTTGAACACTGCCAGTATCTCACTTTAGAGAGGGGTATGAAGCCCAACAGCACCAGGCTGATGGCTTGCGGCAGTGTTGGTCAACTCCTTTGGGTTTTTTCCATTTCTTTCTACTTTTAGACAGGAATCTCCGCTAGAATGAGAGAGCATAATTCATTTTTACTTCACAAGGAAGCCATCTCGTTATGATATACAGAATTTTTTTCTTACAATTGCTAGTTTCAGATAGAAGGGCAAGCAGCTATGCCGTTCTAAATTTGAAGAACTCTGTGCCTTCATCCTCTGTAGCAGCATTAAGTCTGTTGCACTTCACTCTGTATTATATGATTTGAACTGATTTATGGTTTCTGACCTACTTGTTCCAGCTTACTTGTTCCTACAATCCTGCTCACCTTGCAAGCAGAAACATAAGGTTTCATGAAAGACATGCTTTCATTTAGTACCAGTCTTGACCTTTGACTTGTGCAGAGTTGTTTTAGTAAATAGATAATTCCATTTCTTTAAACTCTCAATTTTTCTGTTTTTATAGTATGGCTAAAAAGGAATTAGAAAAACATTGTCCTTGGTACCTGCACAAAGTTTGAGGAAAATATCAGAGGGGAAAAGTTTATCTGTCTTGTGATCAGGATATTTTATTTAATTTACATGCTATATAGTATTACATCTTTGTAATATTTTTTTTTTTACCTTTTAGGCTTTGAAATGTCATCTGATAAACTTTGTTTTCCAGTGGAAAGGCTTAAACATCCTGTTTAGCTAATAAAGTGATGTTAGTGACATCGGATAATGCATTGTTCTGTCTTGTTGAGCAAGCCCTGTTATTGTCCCTTTAATTATAAGATGCTTAGCTTGTATATTCTGTATAAAGTACTATGTGTGAACAGATCATCAAGTTCTGGCGCTGACACACATGTTGAAATGGAAGATACTTAGCATGTGCAAGGAAGTGAAGTTGTTCTGTGTTTCAAAATGGAGGGCTGAGCAGCCATCGTTGTTCTTGTACTCCAAGAGTAAATTTCTTGGCAGAGGCCTGTTGCCTCTAACACGTGCCTCTGCACAAAAGCATGCCAGTGCTGTTTGATAATCACGCCTGTCTGTGGTGGCAAATGGTGCTTTGGAATGGCAGTTTGAAAAAATCTTGTAGCTAGTTGCAAAGGTGGGGTTTTTGACTCCTGGTCAGTACCTTTAGGAATACTAGGGGAAAAAATACTTTAAATGACTGGGGACAGAGACATGTGAAAGTGAAAGCAGTTTCATACTCATAATACCTGACTAGAATGACTGTCCTTTTGTTTAAAAAAATATGCTTTTTTGACAATGCTGGTGAAGTTTCTGGAGGTAGGTCAGATGCTTACTTTTACATTTATAACTGTAACTATCAGAATCCCTTGTCAATGTCCATCCTTAAGGATGCTGTTTATTAAAACTGACCTCTAGTTACTGGAAACTGACTGAGACAGTGTGGAGCAGCAGCTCAGCATGTTTGAGATGCTGGGTTCTGCTTTGTTAATTTCTGTTGCAAATCAAAGCTGGCAGTGTTTGATTGTTACCTTCACTTGAATGGCCATCAACTTCCATATTATCCATTAAAAGCCATTGTGTGAGCAGGCTCCTGAGCAGAGTTTGAGACGTGGTTTATATAGCATGTGTCCTGAATCTACTGCACTCAGGTTATAAACCTGGAATAGAAAATTACTGAAGGCATTCAGAATGAAGTGTTTAAGATACTATCCTGGGAACTTCACGACTTCATAAACTCCTAGGTTTTCTACATTTCCTCTGAACACACTTTTTCATAAGCATGTATGTCTTGATTAAGTTTGATTTCTCAAACTGATCAGGCTTGGGAAACATTTTTTCATGCTTAATTTTTGGCTACTACAATAACTGGCCTTTCATAGTTAAACCAACTCCAAACAAAAAAGTATTAATGTAAACTTATATATTCCGTGTATCACAAATGCTGTTTTAATAAAGATGTTTAAGAATATACTTTG